GTTTATATTGGAGCAAAAAAAAAATTTTTGACAGGGGGGTCTCGGAGATATATTTTGCTAGTCCATGACCCATATAGAGAATAAGTCTCCAGTCCGTGTAAAGTATATAAATAAATATTAATTTTTTATATTTTTCTTTTTACGATATGCGGAAAACGTTTAAAAATAGATTATATTTAATATATAATTATAAATATAACAGACAAATAAACAACTGTTTAACTTATGTGATATACAGTATAAAGACGGTTGATTATAAAATTTTTTGTTCACAAGTGTGATAACTAACTCACTAATTATAGAAACCGAGGTTATACAACAGTCTATAGTGTCTATTATGGACGGCAGGTGTTCATCGACTTCGATTTTACTGTAAAACTTTTAAGACCGATAAATGACCGAAGGGTTACCAAATGATCATCCACGCGTTTTTTTGACGCGTCTAACTATAATAAGAAATTTTTATATTATTTTACAACTTGTTTGTAATACAATGACGAAAATGATATTACCTTTTTTTGTTTTTCCGAAGTAAAGACATTAACAAAATTCCAGTTATTGACCAGATTGATTGAGGTCTATACCTCCGACTGCCGAAACCGAACTGACCGAGCCATTAACATTTTTTACATCTTATGATTGAAAATTTTAAAAGAAATTTTTAAATACAGTATAAAACATGTGCTGATCGACAGTATGTATTTATTGTAACATTTTTTATTATAAACGAGGAACAATATTTTTCGATTCTATCCAATGATAACACGGTAGATATTTTTTATTTCAGCTGCGGTAGTAACATTATATGCCTTCAAGCTGCTATATAATTCTAAATTCAGCCACACCCTTTTTTGGATAAGCTTACCATTTGATATTATTATAAAGAAACATTAATAATAAAGTAAATAACTACGGCAAATAAATCCAATGTGATTATTAGCAAACATATGTTGGGAAAATTTATTATAAGTGATCCAATTGTTATTAATAATAATAGAATTTTTTAGGAAGATCGTTTCCAAAACTGTATAAATTAATTATCTCTGGCGATTTATAGGTAATCTTATAACTTCTACATCTTGGGCAGTTTCAGAATAAAAATTAGAAAACTTGACGCGTGAATACTGTATATAATATATATATAATATAATTGTGATAACATAATGGCTTACTAAATTTTTACTAATTTTCTTACAGGGTTTTGACATGTATATAATAAAAATGAAATATTACCGTTCATTAACTTATATAAATTCCTGTTAATTGCCGAATGCATATTTTATTAAACTGTTTGTAATTAAATTTAATGATTAATTCTCTTAATTCTCTGTTCGCTGGTAAGATAAACGTTATACAAACAATTATCCAATCAAATGAAGTCATCACATTGTGTATTGTATTAAGGAACCCCTCTCGAAATCCGAAACCCAGGCCGAGGCCAAAATGTCAGTGTTGTATGAAAGATTTGAAATCCTGACTTTTTTAGACACGTATGCAAAAGCATTTGTATATATAACAAATTGCATTCCCAAATGACAAGATAGTAATAAAAAAGCCACATCGGATGAGACGGTAAAAATGATCTCATATACCCCTTCTACACTTCCAAAGAGGAAAAGCGCTTCCTCGATATTGATCAACTATCCCATTTATCAATCAGAATGAATGTCCATTGGTCTATATATATATATTAAAAGATAAAAGATTTTGGTCAGAGACTTCGGATCGGAGCCTGTTTCGGACTTTCGGATTCGAAGGATGGCTAGGATGGCTTGGAGATTACACACACAAGTGACGTTTGTATAGGCTAGTAATTAGAGTTTCTCAAAAGCAAATAATTTCTTGTAAAAAATATTTGCTATGTCGACAACGAAGTTACAGGAATGGCTTGAGGACGGTGGTATTAAAGACCTTAATTGGCTGCAACTAGAGGACTTCCCTGACACTGGCCGAGGTGTTAAAACGCTTCGACCTCTTAAACTCAACGATGTAGTCCTCACAATTCCAGGATCCTACCTCTGGACGGTAGATGCAGCATTTGATGACCCTCTTCTTGGGCCTGCTATACGCTCCATAAAACAACCGTTGTCAGTGGAGGATACATTAGCAGTATTTCTTCTTTTTGTCAAATCACGCGAAGAAGATTACGAGGGAAGGCGAGCACATGTCAATTTATTACCAAGCAGTTATACAACGAGTGTATTCTTTAACGATTCGGAGCTAGAAGCCTGTTCTGGCTCGTCACTTTACCAACTTACCAAACAATTGAAGCAGCAAATGAAAGAAGATTACCTTCAGCTCGTCAATGACTTGTTTTCCAAGCATCCGGATCTTTTTCCATTGGAAAAGTTTACATTAGATGAAGTGAGTTTTTTTTTTTTTTTTACAAGTTCGGATTTGTTCATTTAATAATAAAGTACATTTTTTTGTATTCTTGCTTGTATCTTATAGTATATGTGGGCCATTAATACAATCTGGAGTCGTGGTATGGATTTCCAGTTACCTGGCAAGCAATTTCGATGTATTGCTCCTTTTGCCGACATGCTGAATCACTCACCTGAGGTTCAGCTTTGCCATATTTACGATCCCCAATTGAATAATTTACAGATCTTTGCAGGAAAAGATTACGCGATAGGGGAACAAGTTACAATACTTCATTTACTTTTTTTTTTTTTTTAATTTGTTTATTATTGTCTTAAAATCTTTCCAATTTTATTTTTAATATCCTTTGAATCTCAACTATATTAAAGGTCTTTATTAATTATGGTTCTGTTCCAAACAATCGACTCCTTCGTCTTTATGGTTTCATATTCCCTAACAACCCATATGACTCTTACGATCTTGTTCTTACCACACACCCTCTGGCTCCCTTGTATTCTCAAAAAGTTGCCTTACTTGAATCAGCAGGTTTAAAAGTCGATGAAACCTTCTCCCTTAAACTTTCTGACCCCCTTCCATTGGATGTGCTTCGATATTTACGGATTCAACGCCTTTCTTCCTCGGAAATATCTACAGCAGAGGTCAAGCGCGGTGCCAGTAATATTATCAGTGCTCGTAATGAGGCTGAGATTTTAAATGCTTTGATTGAAGCGTGTGAGGGTCTTTTGGCCGGGTTTGGCACTCCTCTTGAAGAACTTGAAGCAAAGGTTTCTTCCGGTGAATACAAAAAAGGCGATAACATATGGGCAGCAGCACTAGTCAGCGTTGGAGAACAGAGAATTTTGAAGACAACATTGCATAATGCAAAAGAGTTGCTTGCGTTGGTTATTTGTGCTCAATGTGGAAAAGCGAATGAGGATAATAAGCGTTGTGGGAGATGTCGAAAAGTGGTATATTGTGGGACTGATTGCCAAAGAAGCCATTATAAGGAACACAAGGCTTTATGTAGGAAATATGCTACTGAAGGACAACAATAATTCAAATAGACATCGAGATCCTCGATATTCAAATTATTTCTAACGTAATGGCAAGTCAATTTAGAAAATCTTACAAGTTTTTTTTTATTTATTTTAATAAAACTAGACTTGTAAGTTTATATTACGCTTTAGATTTTTTGATACGATATTTTGAATTTTTATTGCATGTATAATTTTATGATGTTAATGCTCAATATGACCCTGGTGGTATTTTAGTTATAGCAATAAAAAAAATTACTTTTTGTATTTTCGAACCTGTTCAACAAAAGAACAACTTTGTTAGTTTTATCACGCTTATAATTATCTTTATTTACTTTTTATATTCCTTATTTTGTAATATATTTATTTAAGTTCATCTCGTAAGGTGCGGGATAGAGATAGCTTTGGGATAGGAAGAAAACTTTTTTTTTTTTTACATATCAATAGATAATGTATATCAATTTAGATTTGCAACTATTTCTACGATCTACACAGGAAATTTTCGTTAATTCTGTGACTAGGTACTTGAAATCTTTGGACTTATATCCGAAAATGACACCTCCAGCCGCGTAAAAACGAACCTATCCATGCTTGCCGTTCCCTATGTATTTATAACAGCTTCTTTAGTACTTGGTTCACGTAGACATTCATTATCACTTGAAGTGCAAGCAGGCCATTGATTGTAAGCAATGAAAACTGAACTTATAACATCGATTATGACGAGCTAAGCAAACTGTGATATTTAAATACTTCAAGATGGAATCAATAAGTCTGTGTACACGATAGGTATCTCAATAAGTTCACAAACTTGGAGGCAACGATGAGCAACGATTGGGAATTCAACACACGGATACCATTTATAGAATTACTTTTTTTTGTAGATCATTTGGGAACGTTTTTTATTAATCGTTGATTGGAATTGCTTGTAGCTTATTATTAAATCAGTTAAACCAATCGAGCCGGATATTAATCACGCGTTCAATGGTGAAAAGTATGACACTTTGTTGATGGGAGATTGAAGGATTCCAACAAGGATTTTACTTTTAATATATTTTATAAAAAATGGTGAGGCTAGTGATTTCTCCTTGTTGTTTCCATGAATCCACAAGTTTCGAAATTTGTAAGCATCCATACATAATAAAGACGGTATTTAACAAATTAGTAGTGAAAAGGTGTATTAGTGGGACTAGTAATGAGACATGCACGTGAGCGTCATGTTTGTAAAGGTATGTAAGGTCGATCTACAAAGAATTTTCTATTTTAGTAATAAAGCCATTACTATTAAATGGTATTCATGATTATATTTTTAATAAGACGACCATGATTAGCTAGCACTTTTATTAATCCTGGTTCGTTTTTAATTACTCAGATTTCAAAGATTTGAACTTTATGGTCGAACTAACACAAAGAAAATTGTCGAGTGGTTAACATCAAAGTTTTAGTTACTGATTTTTTTTTGTTCACAAACTTAGATTGTCTGATGGGATTTGGATCAAAAACACGAACAATCAGAAATGAACCAGTCTATTATTACTTTATTTACTAATTACCTGACACAGCTCAATGATTGAATCCAGTATATGAAAACCGTTTCTCATGCATGCAAACGAGTGTATCATTTCGCGGTTCATGGTAGAAAAAATTATTTTATGTACGATTGACTTGAATAACTTCCCGCAATAATGGTTTCTTAAGAATTCCAGTCCTTTATCCGGTTTGTGAACATTAAAAATCTTTTTGAATGGCCAAAGCATGACCTTCACAGAGGTTTTTAAAGACAACATGGTTTTTCTTAAGTTCAACATCGGCCGATTAAAGAATTATCAAAAGCATATATAATAATCATACCTGATGTGATATTGATGTATAGCTTGGGAATTTGATCTAATAAAGAAACAAAGGAATCTTTTATTAATTCAACAATCACAACTCGCGTTGGTTATTTGTAATGAAGAAAACAGTTCAATTAATGAGTCAAAATTCTTTACGGGTTCATTGGCATACGAATCATATCATCTATTCATTCAATTTCAAAGTCATATTCGATTTTTTTTTTTAAATAAGATCAAGAGATGAAATGATTTGCATTTCCTCATCATTTTCTATATCAGTCAGAAAGTTACCTCGTTCTTTTTTTTTTATTCCGATATTTGGTGTTGTGCGTAAGTTCAGTTGAACGCTTGAAGTTTCTATATATTTTCATTCAAAACTAAAAGAGTTAGTCAACTTCAGAAGGAATGCCATATCACTACTTTTGTTTTCTAGAATGATGTTTACACGCTATAGAGACGTACTTGCCTTAACAACGATTTCCCAACAAGAAAAGACAAGTAATTATGTGGGCTTTAAAAACAAATGGTCTAATGTCTTTGAGATCATGCAATGCCTATTGTCATGTTGATGGTTAATTAGGATATTCTAAAGCTGAAAGGTTACTTGGCAAACTTAGACGTACTTTCAAAGGTTAGAATATTTCATATCAGAGTCTATAAGTTTTTTTTAATAACTCCTCTAACTAACCAAGTCCTTATGGCTCATTACTAAAAATAATAATAATAATAATAATAAATATAACTTACCTCGTTTATAGATGTTATGTTCGCTTTTGATGTTATCATTTCCCAAGCCTTAAAAAAGATTAAATGGGTAGTGTACAAAGATCGAGCTTTCTTAAAGCACTTGGCAGACATTTTAAAGTCTTGTCACCAATTCATCAATTGCTCCTGTAGGGGCCGGGCCTTTCTCAATTCCGATCTTGTGATTGTGGAAGAGCGTCGAAGTGGATGTTGAAAGGATTGTTAGCCTGGGCGTGTTGCATGATACATGGAGAGTATCAGTGTCTTCGGTTAAAATACTGGGACCCTTATATTTTAAACTTGACAATGAATGTAAATCTCTCTTGTATTAAGATCCTTAACGTACTTCACGTAAAAACTCTGGGTCTTTGATCCCGAAAATCAATATTAGCGTCAATAATTTTGACCAACATTTAAAGCAGTTCCAAAAATGGTTTCAACTTGAGACTTACAAGTTCTTCTTTTTATATGCTTCTAAACACCCAACTCAACAATTTATTTGCAATTAATAATAGTGAAAGAAAAAATAACTTTAATGTCGAACATTGATACAATAATATAATATTGTACACTTATCACGAGAATTAGAAATTGTTATAATGCAGGCCGATTATTTTATTATTCGGATAGGAAATTTTGAAATTTACTCAGCAGAAATAAATCAATTCTTTTTTTTGCAATAGAAGATCAACAAACAATAAAAAAAATTTTTTCTTTCAAAAAGTTAATTTGATCGATTATGGTTTACCAAAAAAAAAACTCTCATTACATCCAAGCTTGCCTATCGTGTATAATCAAGGACTTTAGCGAATAAATCAATGTTTCGAACTCGGTATAAACCATATAGACAATCAATCAACTCATCCCGTCGTGTAACTCATGAAAATGGTTATTAGTAATTTATTCCGATCAGATCAATCAGCCTTGCTAACTTTGCAATTTTGTTTTTATCGTTAAAAAATTTCCTGTTGGTTATTCCTATTTTAAATCAACTAACTGTAGCCGATATCCTTACAAGTTTATTTTACCTTTTAAACAATGTTTTACGAAATTTCTAATTTTCATGAAATACAAGAATTTCGGTATTTCCTTTTTCGCATCCAAATTTAAATTAAAGTTTGAAAAAATATTGGCTTTGAATATCTAGAACAAATTCACCATTGCTAAAGAACAAATGCTATTAGATTTTTTACACTCAATAAGAGGTTTGCAAGGATATAAGGGGGAAAACTGTCGTAAAATAACCAAATTTACTTTTAGATGTCACTACGTTTCTCGGGCCGGGATATTTCAGATATAACACTAACCGATTTTTTTATTTTTTTTCCCGTGCCTTACAAAAATTTCGAATTAGACTTAAAATAGTAAATTCATTGAAAAATCAACGACGACAATTATCAGTTTATGTATTGCTAAAAATTTATGCAATCTTAAAAGATTGAAATTTTTACTAAATTAGGTAGGATTTTATAATTCCAATTTTCCTTGTACAAGTTAGGAGAATTCGTCTTCAAAGAATTATTTAATTTTGAAAAATTAAAATTTTTTATTTTATCTCTTGTTAAGTTTATCAAATTGCTTAAATCTCATGAATTGGGTCCCTCTTTTCGAAAGATATTATTAATCAATTGAAAATTTTAAAAGAATATTCGGTTCCCAACACCAAAAAATGTCATGCATTAAATTGCGATCCTTAATCTGTACCCGGATATGACTAATTGATTACGATATTCGTTATTGGCGGTCATATCAATTAATAATGGATAACCAAATAACAATTGAAAAAAAATTACCCTTTATATTAGATAAATGTTCCGAGATGTTTATATGATTGCTATAATATATATAAATCAAATGTCAAATTAAACAAATACGTAAGTTATGAAAAGAATTATTAAAGTCAGTAATGAACTTTACCAAAAAGCTAATGAATTCGACTACGTGATATACATCCGCCTTCTCGCCGTATCGAGTCGATACTTTATTTATCATGGTAAAAATCCAAAATAAAAAATAAATGATTAGGAGATTTTCGCTCCGGACTTACCAATGGTTTCCGTTCCTTAGTATTTAGTATTTCATTAAATATTAAATTTTATTCAATTATTTTTGTATAGTTATGATCCGTAATGTAAATAGTAAAAAAAAAAAGGGGGAAACTACCAGGAAAAATAAAAAAATGAGTTAATGCTGCTAAATTTGAACATATGGGAGCTTGTCAATAGAAAGGGAGGAAATCTAAAAAAAATCAAAATTTTATTTCATATGCTAAATATGATTTCTTAGTAAAATAAGTTCAGATTTAACATTAGCTCATAAAATAAATTTTTTTAGAATTTTCTATTGACAAGCTCCCAATATTTAGCCCAAAAATCATTTTTGGTATATAAAAGTAAAATTGATTTTTTCCAGCAGTTTTCCCTTTTCTATTGCAAAGGTCCCATATGTTAATATTTTATATTTAATTATAATTAAATTATAATTATAATAATTATATATATAAAAATAATGTAAAATAAAAATTTTTATTTATTATTTCTCTCAATGTTTTTATTAAAATTATTATCAAATAATAGCATATATTTATAATCATATACTTTAGTAAAAATTTTTTATTATATTAAAAACCAAATTATCATAAAAATTCTTAAATAGAATTTATTTAAAAATATTAAAAAATTAAATGCTTTATTTAAAGTAAAAAATATTCTAATCTAAAAATTAATAATAAACGTTATAATCAGGAAAGGGAATTTTGTATGTACTAGATAAAATTATCACTGTACTTGTACTATACTTGTACTAATTTTTATATTAATTATTATAATGTATTAACTATACTAACTGTATTAATTATTGTACTAATACTATACTTCCCAATTCTGGTTATAATATATTATTCAAGAATTTAATTTTTTAAGTTGAATAGTACAGTCTAGAGCTTCTAATGAGTCGAGTTGACTCACGAGTCAAATGAGTTGACTCGAGTTTGAGTCGAGTCGAGTCAAAAAT